CCCAAATATATTCAACAACTCCTTTGAGTACTTTTACTTTATGTTTTCATCTCTCCAAAACAACTTTCAGCAATCTGTTTACATCTTATTACATCCCATTTTGAAAGTTCAGTAGCTGTTAAACCAGTTAGGCTCGGGCTATTTATAGCGATGATGTTCAGCTGGCTGGAGAGACACTCTAAGCAGACCCTGCAGCAGGAGGTGAGGAGTACCGCCTCGCCCAGCTTACCAAAGATGAAGAGCACGAGAACTACCAGCTACATTTCAGCTACAGTGGAGCCGGCATTCAACCAGAGCATGAGAGACTCACTGAAGAGAGAGCTCATGAAACTGCTCAGTTATTTATGGTTGATTTAAAAAAGCATGTGCACCTCCTTTCATGGCACACTTTCACACACATCTCCACAGAATATAAATCTGTGAGAAATCCCGTGTCTGAGGCAGGCTCAGCAATTCCCCAAGCTTTATGCCAAGCAGAGATAACTGGGCTGAGGGCGGTATCAATCTTCTCATCTAACTCTTGGCAAGAAACCAAATTATCGCCATTTTCCAAAATGTCAAACTTTTACTTTACAACTTCACGAGCCTAGCAGGTTGGCAAGGACAAGTTTCGAATTTAACAAGTTCTGCATGCTCATGAATAAGAAAGACTGCTCTCAAATGGTGATAAAATGCATGATTAAATGTCTGACGGAGCAGACTCCATCACCATTTCTCCAAACATCGACTTCTCTTATTTTTTCCTCACACTCTCTGCTGTTGTTAAAGAGCATTCGAGCGAGTCGCAAACTAGCAGGATGTGCACCTCAATCAATTCCACAGGCTCCCTTTGCTAATCAAACTACCTGCCAGAAAAGCCCTTCTGGCAGCTACGCTTCGACATCAACCTGACCGCCTGATTATGTTTGCAGCCTTCTGAGCCAAAAGCTGCTCTAATATTACTGCCTAATGTATGCCATATGCTGTTTTCCAAGAAGCCAAAGGGATACTGTTTCTAAGAGACCTGACAGGCAGCAAGAGACATCTAGAGCCTAAGTCAGCATCCAGAAGGCAGCGCATCTTTTGCTCCGTTTGTTATCGAGGCTCGGGGTAAAAAAAAAAAGAGAGCCAGCTGCTTCACGAAGGCGGTGCCGAATCAGCGCTCCGCAAATGTTCAAGGTGATCAGTTTCACATTAACAGTTGTCTCTCTTTAATGCATATGTGCCCTCCACCCACGATGCCTACTGCTCCCTTTGTGCTCAGCAGACGAGTATTTTCATTGCTGCATGAAAAGCGAGCGCGCTCTCAAGCAGATCCCCGTAATGACAACATTGCATAATTAACATCAAATGCATCTTTGCCACCTAAGATCAGGCCTCGGTCTACGCTTCTACGCATAATCACAGCGGTGGTGACACAGCCGGTGATTAAGACCACAGTTGATGGTGGCGGTGATACTCCACCAACTGAATTTTTCGCTGCTGGTGTTTTGTAGGTCAAGCCTAAGTGACACCTGCGTTACACTGATGATGGGAGGATAAAGACGAAGCTGATCTCTAGTTTTTCCCCCCTTTTTTCACACTCGGCATAAACAAATCACACATTAACACAGCGACACAGTCTTGAAGAGGTTCTGACCTCAGCCTTAAAGTTTCCCTTTAATCGCACAGAAAAGCTAAAGAAAGCCAAATGTGCACAGCCCGCTCAAGAACATCTCTCCTGGCTTTGATTAACTGCTGCGAGTGCGAATGCCGTAGGGCCACTCCAGTAACCACTCCCCTTGATAGTGATCTGAACTACAGCTGGACACTTTTCCTAAAGGCAAGAGCTGTAGACTTAATTGGGTTACCCTTGTGTGCAAAAGGGGAGTACTAACACACACATACACACACACAGAGCATATGACCATATCCCTGCAGTGAAATGACCTCATTTACTCAAGTTTTCCGGCCAAATAGTTCTGCAGCAACAGTGGATTTTTTCCCCCCTCCTGCAGTCCATCATCAGAGATTCAGCAATCCAGTGCTGAGCTTATTGGGCTCACTTCCAAGAGGCTTATATCCCCATACACTGACAAGACATTACTTAACATTACTTTCCACGCATGACACTATAATCTTGTCTTGATTATGCAATTAGTTCTCCGTCTTTGAACACACAATATTTCCAAAGAGCTCGTTCAGGCATTAAAGTGTTTCCCCGCAGCGTGAGCATGGAGGTATATACTGCGCTTCAGTGGCAAGAGCTGCGTTTTTTGGGGTGGGGGGGGTTTGTGCTTTGAGGACTGTGGCTTTAGCGAGACAACGGACTCTCCAAATCTGTCGCTCTCGCCTTTTGCCTTTATGATCTCGCCACATATAGCTACAGACACGCGTCTCCCTCTCCCAGCCTCTCCAATGTTAACGTCTGCCCTTTGAAATGGACGATGAAGACAAAAAGGTGGAGGTATAAGGAGAGAGACGGAGAGATGCAGCTGGAAAATAAATGCAAGTTAAGGGCCAGGTCAGGGTAAAATACTAAAGCACATATATTTGGTCTGAGATTTGGATTTTTACAGCTTCATATCGAGTTCGGTGAATGTGCGTTTTCATTTTTTTGGACACTGGTGCTAAAATATAAAGACATTCGTTTAAATCTGTAGGTTTGTTTTGTTTTTTTCAAGTGGGCATTATGATTGCTGGAATACTAGTGAGGGATTTTTTAAGGTCTGACATTTTTCTTTGATGATCATAGTGGACAAACTTCCACACTAAGGATGCCACTCTCGACCAGTGCTGAAGTTAAAGGTGATGAAATGACATATGGCTTAATGTCTTAAATAACTGTAACTGTTCTTAACTTGTATTCAGAGTGAAAATTAATTACCCAAAAAAGAAAAAAGAAAGCGAAAATGACACGGAAAAAAAGACAATTCAGAAGAATCTGATTAATATTTCATTATTTAAAAGTTCCACGCCAAATATCGCGATAATACAATTTAAGCGAGGTTAAAATGCCGACACTGTGAGCTATAAACAACAAACACAGATAGTCCACAATATTAAAAGAGTGAAACGCCCAGTCCAAGTTATAGTTTGATAGTACTGGTAAGATTCATTTCACCTGCTCGGGGTCTTTCCATGTATATGCACTCAGCATCAGGTCATGTGATGAAAATGTACATTTAATCATTATTATTATTATTATTGTCATGATTATTGTTGCTGCTGCCTCCTGTAGTAGAAAGTTTGACTTCAAGCCTTGAAAATTTCCCACATGAACACTGTCTGTTCGCCGTGAGCAGCCAAACTCCGTCTAAACTCCTTTGACAGCGTTTAATTTCCTAACAGGAACTTTGATAACTGAGCCTGTGCTAAGCGGAGGGATACCGTGAAAAAAAAATGCCATCGTAAGTGAAACATACACAATAATAAGTTCCAAAGTTGTTAGTGCCACTATTTGCTAGAGATTTGGTGACACCTTCACTTACCATCTTCCTTTTCGTCAAAAACGGGTCTCTTTGAAGAACTGTTGGCTCCCATCCTCTTCTTCCACTTGCCCCAGTGAAACATTGATGCTCAGCTTGCATTCCTCGCCTTCTTGGAAGAGAAACTACAGCTCTGTGTCGGACACCCTCCTCCTTAAAAGACAGTAACAACAGCCGTGCATTTCAGCCGAGACGTGTCCGTTATTTCGTTTTATTTCTCCCGTATTTGGTCTGCCGACAATTTGACCAGCGCGAGTTGAAGTCCTCAGAAGGAAGCGGAAAGCAAAGTGCAGCGCTTACCGACGGACAGGGATGATATTTAGAGCTAACACTGTTTGCTAAGTTGGAGGTTTGGGCTGGAATAACCACTCGGTGCTCGTAGTGTTCAGTTGCCTTGCGCAGCCAGACCGACGGACTCGTGTTTGATGGGGCTTGAAGAGTACAGACTACGCGGAGAGGGACTCAGTTGGAGAAGCCCTAACCGGAAGTGAGTCAGTTAACTGTAAAAAATAAAAGCTCAAAAGGACTTTTCAATCGCCTCAAAATTATTAGACGATGTATTTATGGTTTTATAATCCTCACTTATTTTGTTTTAATTTAGTGTTTTGTTTTTTCTTTTAAATTGGAATTAGTTTCAGTTAGTTTTCAAGTAAGTTTAATTATTTTCCGTTATTTTTATTTTTATTGTTTTTTCCCAGTCTAAATAAACACAAGCACAAATATACATTTGTTATCTCATTTAGGTAGATTTCTAAGTACATTAAATCATTTCACTTATCTTTATTCTTTTCGGGGGGTTAAGTTTCTACTTTTATTTGAGATAAACACATTTTCACACCCATTTTTTTCTTTTATGTGGTTTATTATAATTAGCCAGAATAATAATGTAGTAATGGTAGTGTCAAATCCCTCTAATTTGAGATTTTAAATTGCATACAGAAACTGAAGTGGCATTGATACATAAAAATTATTCATCCAGTTCGACTCAGCAAATTTAGATCGCAAGTGTAGGTAAATGTGGCACAATGGCCATCAAAAGTAGCCTACTGAACAAAATCTCGATAAAAAAAATTTTATTTATACGTTAATAATGGGATACCACTTGATTTTTGCCGCTTGTCCATTAGACTTTTATATTGAAAGCAATAACCGGAAACTACTAATTAGTATCCTCACTAACTTGACTCTTGCGAGAGTAGTGTGACAGTTGTTGGCTAGTGAGTATAGTCGACGTAACTCTGTATCACGGACTGTCGTGCAAATCAATACATTAGGAGCGGTGTGTGGACGTAAAGCCAGGATTGGCTCAGGACAGAGTGGAGGCTTCCCGGCTCGCGTTCACAACAGAGGGAAGCCGTGTTTATCCTGCCGCCCAAATGAACCTCAGTGAATTATTCCACAATCTCATTAGAAAATGGATGGGTGGAGTCGGTTCACTGACTGTGGAACGGGATTAACACGTTATCTACACAGTGTGCACATTAGATCATTTGCTCTTCTTTTTTTCTCTGCATATAATAAAGTATATAAACATTTAACTTAAAAATATATACAAAAATTTTACTGAAGAAATATCAAGTTAGTCGCCTTGTTCTTGTTTTGCACGTGGACAGCTGCCAGCTTGTGTTGACCACGTTGCTATGGTTACAGCGTCAGGTCGCGAGACGTGTCTAAAAGTTAGCATAACATTTTTCAGTTTCGTAGTTTTTTCCGACCTATAAAGTGTTTGTTTTTAGATAACACTGAGCCGTGTTCACATTGGTAGTAGTGCTGAAATAGCAGGTAAGCTAACACAGTTATTGAACAGTTACATAATGGTGGGCTAATGTTGTCCTTTAGTTAGTTAGTTAGTTAGTTAGTTAGTTAGTTAGTTAGTTAGTTAGTTTAGCTCGTACCCAAGTTAGACGACGTCTCTTCATTTATTTAAAACTTGGACGGTTTTGTCTTTTACAGACAAACAACAAGAAATTTCTCTGCCAAAAAGACACTCGTGTATTTTGAGTATACCAGTAAAGCGTCTCGGCCTCCTTTGTGCAATGACTTCCCCGGAGAAGGAGGCTGAGCTTCCTGGTGCGCAGCTTAGCTTTGTCTTTGGGAGCAGTGTTGTCAGAGCGCCGATCCCCCGCACTCCTCCCGAGGATGCCGATCCACAGGAGCCCGCTGAATGTTATTCAACAGAGACGCTATGTCTGAGCAGATCTCAGCTGAAACATGTTCCAGACAGTCCTTTGAGAAATAGCAAGCTAAAGGTCAGTGTGGACTCTAAACACACACCAGCTACATGATGTATGCTCCAGTGGCTTTCAAGCAGAAGAAAAAACGTTTCTACCACTGCATCATTACTAACTGCTCCCTCTGTCATCTTCAGTATTTGAGTCTTGAAGGCAACCAGATATGCAGTATTCCAGGCTCCGTGTTTATCAGCTTGCCCAACCTACTGTGGTTAGATCTCAGGAAAAACCTAATTGAGTCACTCCCACCTGAAATTGGCTTGCACAGGTACTGTATGCAACATTTAAAAAAAACAAAAAAATTATAGACCAGTCTAATGTGCACGTGTTCATTTGAACTTATCTGGACAACTTTGATCTTACAATTTACTCTTAAACCAAGGCATAGGCCTCTATGGGACTATAAGAATGTCATGTTTTAGAACATTTTCTGATCACTGTTAACATTTCAAAGCTATTAACATAAGTTGAACACTTTATGATAAGCACACAAGTGCTACAGTTGTAAATCTAAATGTAGCGAAATGAGATTCCCAGGCCCTAAAAAGCATTTCAGGATATTTATACAATATGACTGTAGAGTGGCCTGTACACTTTCCTCCTGTCTGTGTATTCAAGTTTAAGAGCAAAGATGCTTTCTGACGAAGGCCTAACCCCTTCAAACATTTCATAATCTGTCTTTTTATGGATGTAGGTGCTTGAAAACACTGCTCTTAGAAGGGAATCCTATCTCTGAACTTCTACCTGAACTGGGTGAGTGGTCCCTCCTTATCAAAAAAAGTTGTAATTTTCAGAAAGGAAGTTATACATATTGACATGTGAATTACATGTATGCAGTAACTACAGGATTTTAAAGGGGACCTGTTTTGCTTGTTTAAAGCTACGCAGTTTAATTCCTTGGACTCCACTAGTGTCGTTTTGCATGATTCACAGTTCAAAGTAATCATTATTTATTTTACACTGGGTCACTGAACAGCTCTTTGTTGATCATTTGTCCTAAATAAACAGTTTTTTGTTTGTTTGTTTGTTTGTTTGTTTTGGGGCGTGTTATCGTCCACTTACACTCAAAGAATAAGTATTTCAATGAACATAAAAATTCATGGACATAAAAATTCATGGACATGACAGAAAATAAAGACACACATAATGGATCTCTTTTAACAGGTAGCTGGTACATTATGAGTAATGTAAGCCTCTTCATTATTCAGTGTACGTCTTTATGAATGAGTCATTATTTGCCTTTTTGCAGGAAATGTGATTAGCCTCAAAGGTCTGAACCTAAGGGACTGCCCAATCCACTTTCCTCCACAAGAGATTGTGCAGCAGGGACTCCAGTCCATCCTCCAGTACCTGAGGAGTGCTCTGGCTCACCGGCCAGTCAGCACAAGGAAGAACCCTCCAGGTGAGTCAAAGGCACTTTACCTTTGAACAACACAAGCAGCATGCACGTGCATCCTAGCCATCTGCTCTTTTTGTCAAAGGCAGGACAGCGCGCTCACAAAAATAGCTCCTTGCCCTGGTACCGCTTCTCTAGTGTGACTCCTGTTCCCTTGGAGACGGCGCGTGCAGCTCAGCCGACTCCCCACCACCACCACCACCATCATGCGCCTCCTCCCTTTTCACTGTTCCAGCTCTGTAATATTTTTAGCCCGATGGAAATGATCGATAACCTGTTGGCTCTAATCAGGAGCTCTCTGTCACTAAGCCCTGTCTGGAGATAATCACTGTGAGAAGGCTGAAACAGGAGAGGCTGCTGCTACTGCACAATAAGCAGAGACAGAACCCTCAATCAAATTATTTATCTCCCTGCTTACAAGGTTATTAACAAAGATAGGGTCCCGAGTTTCAGATGTAAATCTCTTCTCATTTAATTGGCCAAGAGAAGGAGTGTAGTGGGTTTGAATTTCCACGCTGTATTGTTATCCACCTTTAGCTGTGTTAAAACCGAACATTTATTCTTGTTAGAAGTTACTTTACTATAAAATGAGTAAAAATTTGTTGGTTACATTTTCCTCCACATTCCACACAGATATTTAAAGGAGTGGATTTACCTGTGTGAATTAGCTTCTTAAATGCCTCCTGCCAGCCACTGCAGCTGCAGACAGTATCGAATGTTGCAGTATCTGTTGCCCCCACACTGCACTAGTAGCTGCCATTGTTGTTTCATTCCTAGAGTTGCCAGCAATGGAGAAACTCCAGCTGTTAGAGCTGAGGGGTATGGAGGAGCAGGACGAGTCAGGGGATGTGGAGGAGCTGCAGAGGTTCAAAGAACTCAAGCATCAGTTGATCCTACTGGACAGAGCTGAGCTGGGCTCAATACCACAACGTGATAAAAACCTAAACCCCAAACTTCTCCTTTCTGGCAGGAGGTAAGAAAAGATGTTTGGGTGGGAAAAAATGCCCCATAATGACACAGAGAAAAAATGTGCTTGAAATTCTTGCAAATTTATTTAAAATGAAGAAATGAAAATGTAAATAAGTATTACCAGACTTTTCTCAAAACTTTGTTGAAGCACCTTTTGTAGCGATTACATCCTCAAGTCTTTTTGAGTATGAAGCTGAAAGCTTGGTACACCTAATTTTGGGAAGTTTCCCCCATTATTCTTTGCACTCTCTTAGGCTCGATCAGAGTGGATCAGGTTGGATGGGGAGCGTCAGTGCACAGTCATTTTCAGATTGCTATAAAGATGTTCAATCAGGTTTGAGTTTGGTCTGTGGCTTGGCCACTCAAAGGCACTCAAGGAATGGTCCTGAAGTGGTCCTTTGTTATCTTGGCTCTGTGCTTAGGTTCGTGGTCCTCATGGAAGATGAACCTTCGCCCCCAGGTTGTCTTCAAGGATGTCTCTGTAGATTACTGTATTCATCTTTCCCTTGTCCCTGACTAGTCTCCCATATTCTGATGCTGAAAAACATTCCTGCAGCACGATGCTGCCACGACCACACGTCACTGTAGGGATGGTATTGGCCAGTTGATGATCACTGCCTGGTTTCCTCTAGAAATCATGTTTGACATTGAGGCCAAAGAGTTCAGTACCAGTTGTTGTTTTGTTTCTCTTGGTCTGAGAGTCCTTCATGTGCCTTTCAGCAAACTCCAAGTGGGCTGTCATGTGCCTTTTACTGAGGAGTGGCTTCTGTCTGGCCACTCTAGCATCATTCTCCTCTCTCCACAGAGTAATACTGGAGCTCTGTCAGAGTAGCCTCCCTGACTAAGGCTCTTCTACCCTGATAGCTCAGATTGGCCAGGTGGCCAGCTCTAGGAAGAGTCCTGGTGGTTCCAAACCTTCCATTTACAGATGATGTAGGCAACTATTCTCACTGGAACCTTCAATGCTGCACACATTTTTATGGACCCTTCCCCACATCTGTACCTCAATACAATGCCGTCTTGGCCTATAGACAGTTCCTTGGTACTGGGTATGGCTTGGTTTGTGCTTTGACATGCACTGTCAGTTATGGGACCTTGCACAGACAGGTGTGTGCCTTTCCAAATCATGTCCAAACAACTGAATTTACCACAGGTGGACTCCAGCTGTAGAAGCATCTGACAGATGAGCAGTGTAAACAGGGTGCACCTGAGCTCGATGTTGACTGTCATGGCAAAGCCTGTGAATACTTAAGTGCATGTTATATTTGTGTGGGTTTTTTTTTTATTTTTAATACATTCGCAAGAATTTGAAGAAAATGTTTTTCACTTTGTCATATGGAGTATTGTATGTAGAATGTTGAGGTGGAAAATGAATTAAATTCATTTTGGAATAAGGCTGTAACATGAAAACATGTTGAACAAGGCTGTAAATCTTTCTGGGTGCATTGTATGTGCTTATTTATTTATTTTTTTCAAAGAGTTAGCAGAGAAGGTCGGTACCTGTGTAAGATTTGTAAATTACCTATGAGGCTAGAGCCAACAGAGAGTTTCTTCTAGCAAAGAGCAAGAAACAGACGGAATCACAATGGTTCTCTCCAAAGGTTTAAATCTCGGCCTTCCACAATTAGCTCATGAACTAATTGATAGAAATTCACATTTTCTGGTTATTTACTCTTAAATATCTCTTGGATTAGTTCTGTAGAAGTCATATACTCTGTCCAGGGAGCCCCATGCCTCTTGAAAGCTGGGATAGGTTTCAGAGATGTCTCTCTTGGCTCTTAAGCCCTATAACCTTCTGCATTCTTCTCTGGTTGCACGATAATATTCACATACAACCGGCTTGTAAAATAGCTTATTGTCTCATTACGCTATAGTTTTTAAACAGATATAACATGATAACTAGTGGACTTTGGTCCTGCTGCTCCATGTATTAGTGCAGGACATTGCTAACTTAGCTGTTTCCAGTCTTTATACTACTCCTGATGTTAACTGGCTGATGTGTTCATCCATGTATCCATGTAATGAATCCATTAGGCACATTTCTCTTTCTATGTTTATTCTCAGACTGAACTCAAGTAGCCTTTTATCATTCGCAACTCAAAGTAATCCTTGTTTATCTTAGTTTATCCTCTGAAAACAAAACTTTTTTAGCTCTCTTCTCCCTCCCTTTTCTTCTAATTGGCTGCTCCCCAAAAACAGCCATGCCCACTCAATGACATCAGAGTAGAAAAACATCCTGAAACAGATTGTTCAGAACAGTCTGGTTCACAGGAATGAATTACATATGCACTGACCTCATTATTTGAAAATTTGGCCATGTTTAAAATGAACATCTACCACTTAAACAGTTTAATAAAACATACTAGGGTTCAATTTAATTGTCAAATAAGACAGGAGTATTGATATTTCCCTCCAACTCCATACACTAGAAACTAAACACGTGCAAAATGTCACACTGTTGTTTCATAAGAGGGATGAAACATATGCATTGGACATGCATTTGTTAAATATTTTCATTGAGATTTTAAAACTTCACGCATCTAATTAATTGTACCTTTGTTTTTGTATAATGTACCCAGATAGCAAATATCTGTTGGGGCCAAGTCATTTTCAACTACTCAATTATCAAAGGTAAAATTTAAATCTGAATTATTATGGTCAATACTGAGGGTTTTTTTTAAACAAGATTATTCATAGACTTTGGAAACAGTTGAGCTGGAAAACTAATGTGAAGTTGAGGCTTTAAGGGAGCAACTGCTGTAAAACTGAGAGCATCTTTAATAATCACTTAATCTCAGTTACCATTATAACATTATTTTACTCCTTGACCCTCCGTGGAGTGGAGGGCAGAGTTTGTGGCCGTGTGCTTTGTAAAATTATGGCAAAACAACTTTTTAATATCATTCTCTGTGGAGGAAACCAGGTGATAAAAATCACCTGGTCTCTGAGAGCCCAGAGCTCAGACGAGCCATAAATATGAAGCAGTTTGTTTGAATTTATTCTTCAGAAAAAAGACAGCCACCAAGGCCGGCATGATTCCCCAGCTCCCCCTTTTTGACTCGCCTCCTTGGAAGAGGCCAGAGGAAAGGAAGCAGGCTGCAATGAAGGAGTTGAACGAGAAGAAGGCTATTCTCGAGCAGAAGAGAAAGTGAGCAGATTTCGGCCTGGAGAACAAGAGTTGTTTTGGGTTTTTTGTCTCTGATCTGTTACAGAGTGTATTGTTATCTGACTCTCCTGTAGAAGCCAAGTGTCTCTTCAGAAGTGCTGCACACAAGCCAGAATCTCACAAGACAAGAAAATGTCTGAGCACAAAGAGAAGAAGCATGAAAGACAAAAAAGGCGTGAGGTTTGTGTGTGCTTGGGTTTTCAGCTGTCATCCTGCCCACCACCAGAGGGCACTAGAGCACCACCTCTGACACACTGGTTAAAGGAGAGAGGCATAGATATATTGCCATTAAATGAATCATTTTGATGTGAGTGAATGGGTTTTCAGACAGTAGCACCACCATGGTGGTGATGAGACAGCAACAGTTTCCATTGGCGGTAATGGAGCATGCTGGAGGAGCCATCAGTGCTGATATACACAGGGAGACACATTATAAATCTATCATTTGACTTTCAGCTCCATTTTCATACATATATATAGTGGAGAAAGGGTGCCCATTATGTTTGCATGGGATCAGCCCGACATAAGGGAAAATTTATTGTAAAGGAAAAAAGTCTTTTTTCTGTTTTTTAACTGAACACAGTGCAGCCACAGGCTACATCTTTGTATGATGCATTGCAAGAGTTGTATCGCTTCACAGGTAAATGTAACAAGTACTTCCTTACCCTGTTTCAGGAAGCAGAAGTAGATTCAAAACCTGGTTTTGCGGACAGCAGTGGTGCTCCTCGGACATCTGGCAGGTGTGAAGGGGACAGGTAATGACAAGCTCTGGGTCTGCTGTTAGTTCTGCCAGTATACCTCTAAGCTTTAACAGTGACTGCATTTGTCTCTGTGAAGAGTACTTGTCCTACTTGTGGTTTAAACTTATAATCATCTCATCAATGAGTCTAACGAGAACTCCACAAGTACCCACTAAATGGCATTTTGCATGGTTTAGCAGATGCGAGTTCTGCTACTAAAGATGTAAAGTTAGAGACACCTAGTGGACAAAGACAGACTGCACACATTATAGAACATAAGCAGATTTCTTTGTTCCTTTTAAACAATGTTATGTTTTTGCAAAAACAGATAAACCAGGTAAGACAGTGCCACTTTTCTTATTTTATTTTTACTGATACAAGGAAACAGAGAAAGTAACCCTTTGGGTTATATCTGTAAAGGCTATAATACTTAAACACCTGTATAGTGTTGTATATATAGATTTTGACCTTTGAACTGCATGGCCCTAAAGATCGGCCCGGGACCTGGAACGACAGATTTGTGCCCGTGCCGAGAAGATACAGGAGAGGTGCAGGAATCCCAGGGGCACAACAAGCGAGCAGATGGCAGCAGCGATGGAGGATGTGGAAGAGGTCTGACGTATAATTCCCATTCATTGTGCAACTCATTATATAGGTTAATATAGATTATTGATCTAAACTCCACTTTTCTGACTGACAGATGAGGAAGTTACAGATGCAGCTCCTGGAGAGGAAGAGAACTCAAGGACGAGATCTTGAAAAAACTTTCATGATCTTTACTGGGGACACCTGGCCTGGTTTCCTTGATAAGTGACAGAGACTACACACCTGCTGTTTGAGTTTTTGTGATATTTAATTGATATGGAAATAAATCAATAAAGCGACTAAATCCTTTTGAATCATATTGTGTTGCACAAGTCTATAAGGTAAACATTTCAAATCCTAACTTGGCAAGGGAGTGTTTAGAAAGTTTCCAGTTCACAGCTGGTGTGTTTCTATTTTTCTTTTAACTTCTGCAAGATGCTCTCTCCACTAAGCAAAGTAATCATGTTAACTTTAACTTACATAAAATAAATACTTTATTGTGTCAAAATAAGCTTTTCAGAAAAAGCGTTATTGGCTCACCGGGCATGTATTACCTACATGCAGAGTAAATTAAGCCAGTCTTAAAATAGATCATTTTAAAGGGGAACTCGACGTTTTTAGCTCCAAATAGATAATAATATCCTCATTAATGTAATTTACAACAAGATACATTAAAGTAAAGTGGCAGGTTTTTGTCAAATAGCACATTAAATGTTTTATTTATTTGTGTGCGTGTGTGACATTATATATAATCGTTGTCAGCTGGCTCTGCATCTTGTGATTATTATTTAATTGCCATTTTTGTCATCATCAGTTTTAATTTTTGATTACATATTATTTTAAAATGCTTGTATGCGTTTTCAGTTTTCATGTGTAATTGTGGTATTTGTTTTGAAGACGGACGCCATAAACCTGCTGCTGAGTTTAAAAGAGGGGGGGAAAAAAGCGAAAAGTGCCGGGGTAATGAATGGCATCAAGCAGTACAAAGTGAGACAGAGAAAGGGTAGGCCTTGTCTTGAGAGATTTTCTGCTCCTGTAGCACAGAGAGCGTGATGTCAGCGGTGGCAGTACTGTTGTAATTGACTTGGTGGGGGTGATGGCGTCATTTTATGCCCTGGTGTAGCCTCCTGCTCCAATAGCGAAGGGGAGACGGATCTTTGGCCGACGCGACCGTGGCTCCCTTGGCCGGGATCGAGCACCGCCGAGCCGGACAACTCACCCCGGGAAACATGGAGGCTGTGGCCGAGGAGCTGCGGGCCGGCTCTCGGGTACCTGTCACTATCGATCAAATAGTTAACGATACACTGGTGGTGACGCTGACCTATCGAGAAAGGATCTACACGGGGATTTTACTCGATTGCAACAAAAAGTGAGCACTATTTTTTCTAAACTTCTTTTATATATTATCGTCTAAAAATTATTTGCTAAATACTGCTAACGGCTAATTTACCTTGGATGCTAAGTCAAAGCTAACTATTAGCGACCTAGGCCTTTATACAAAAGGCTTGCAGGTTATTGTAGCTGACAAGGTGGCTATCTGCTAGCTTCTCGGCTAATGTTAAAGTGATGTCATTTTTGCCTATAATAAGACGGCGAAATACTCGATTTTACGATGGAGGAAAACTATATAAAGGCATTAGCCCAGCCTGTAGAGACTGTTAGTGACTTCTGTTGAAAAATATCTACTGTCAGTGGGTTCAGCTATAGCTTATTGTTAGCCTAATCAAGGGAAGAGCAGCTAAAGCGAATCCAGTAAAATAGCCAGGCCTTAGCTACACACTATTTATTTTTATCTGTTTTATTATCATGCAATTGTACAGAAATGTGAATGTGCACTAGTTTTGTAGGCAAATGTCTGAGTACAGTAAGCTGGAATTTATTCAAAGGCAGCAACATTATAACCTGTCATTTCTGACTAGCAGAAACAATAGAAAATTATTAAAATACATTTGAATGATCACAACTGTGTCTCATTTTCAGTAAATCAAGCTTTGGTCTTATCTGTGTCCATCTTAGCCTCTGACAAAGCAAAACACAAAAAATGGGGCTATTGATAGAAAGCATAGTCTGTTCAAAAGAGAACCATGCAAGTATAATTTGACATGTACCAGTGTCATGTCTTATCAGGCCCTCTTGTTGTGTGTCACATGTATAAGCCTTGTGTTCCTCCTGGTGCTGTGCACCTTAAAAGCCACTGGCTTTAGGCTATTTATAGACGAGCAGAATCAGAACCTGACCAGCTTTTCCCCTTAGTATGCTTAGATGGTTTTTCGTGCAAGAGCTCATGCTGTACTGAAAATAACCCACCCAAATGGGAAAAGGTCGGCCTTGGAATAACTTAAAATAGGCCTATATTTTAGGCCTTGTCACTGACAAAATTTGACTAATTCCTCCTTTTCAGCTCATGGCAATACACTTCCCGTCATTGTCCGATGCAAACAGATTGTTGCATTATTTTTTTTAATCTTATTGTCTTGCCCTATCATTCTGACAGATCTCCACCACAGCATGAAAAGACAACAGTGTGGTGAATCATGCCTGGCCATATTCTGCGTCCTTGTACTGCGCTTAACTATTACTGTGTGTTCCCTACTACATGCAGCCTTGTTTGTGCTGCGTCAATCAGAGTAAAGAGTGATATTCAACAGCTATAGGGGTGCATATTTTGTTATGGGAGCCTAAAGCTAAGAGTAACAAGCCTCACCAGGAGACTATTATTTGGAGATGCCTGCCAACTACTTCTCTTGGGGAGGAAAGCAGGCTCCCCAAATGTGCACTAATTAATAATCTTGCCGCACATAAGCCCCAAGTAGACACGGATGCAAAAACAAACTGAAATCTCCTGGCTCCTTCCCTACCTCTCTGAATCCCGAGTGATTCATGGGATTGTTTTTGTTCAGTCAGATGTTGGGGAGGAGGGGGTGGTCTCGGGCATCCTGTAGTCTCTTTGTCTGTTGTCTCCTGACTAAGGCAGCACAGCTATGTTACTGTTGCTTGCCAGCCACCTCTCAAAGACTTTCTTGGCAGTTAGGACCTCACTGGACATGTTTGCTGATCCCAGTGTGTTTTTAAGAAGAAAAAAAAAAGCACACACACACACGCAAAAATCACATTAAAATCACTTAGGGAAAATTCAGCAGCACTGTTGCTTCTGTGGCCTGAGGCTGAGGCACAGATAACTGTCTGTCTGCTTGCACAACAAACCCCAACCCCCACATGTTAAGAACCTTCAGCACCCAGGTGACAGGGAGAGTGACATCAATGTCTCGCGTCAAAGTAAAACCAGAACTAGTTATATATGTTATTTTTTTTTCGACAATGTGAACAGTTTTGGCTGTTCTTTTATTGTTTCAGTGCTGTCCTACTTGCCTCAGGTTGTGTCACATGTTGAGGCATATTGTTCTAATGGAGGGGATTGTTGAAGTAAAAATTCTCAGGGTTTAGCACGACTGTATCATCTTTGCTGTATAAAGCTTAACAAGATCCACAGCTATTTATACACTGTTTCTTTTTTCTCTCGTTTATTTTAGGACCGGGCTATTTTGTCTACCAGACTTCACAACAAAACTTGGGGACTGCCAAGAATCTAAACCTGCTTCTGAAATCCAAGAAGTTCTGAGCGAGGACTCGGTTTCCAAATCTCCCAGCCAGGTTTCACACAGACCAAAGGATGAAAACACTCTCCCTGAAAGCAGCATACCTACACCTCCTCTACCCTGCCCCGTTCCCACACCAGTGCCAGCTGGACAGACTCCTTATCCTCCTTATTTTGAAGGAGCCCCCTTCCCCCAGCCCTTATGGGTGCGCCACACCTACAGCCAATGGGTACCTCAACCCCCTCCACGACCAATCAAGAGAAAGAAGAGGCGAACGCGAGAGCCCGGCCGTATGACCATAAGTACTATCCGTCTGCGGCCTCGGCAGGTACTGTGTGAAAAGTGCAAGAACACGCTAAATAGTGACGAGGACAGCAAAGATGGCATGAGCAACACCAAGACCTCTAGAAAAGAAAATTCACTACAAAGTGACGATGACGGCTACGACAAGGATACTCCTAATAAGTTGTCAAGAAAAGAGGACACAGTCACAGCCAAGGACACTAAAAGACGGGAAAATGGCACCAGCCTTGATAGTAAGCGTCTCAGAAAGGACAAAAGGTGCGAGGCTGATGGGGAGAAGTACCCTGGAACTGATGTTATTCCACACAGTCCCGTCATAAAGATCTCCTACAGCACTCCACAGGGCAAGGGGGAGGTTATGAAGATCCCGGCGCGAGTCCACGGTTCAGTCAAACCATTCTGCCCCAAACAGCTGGTGCAGAATGGCGTGGGGGAAAACGACAAGGCAACTTCTGATGCCACCAAGGAACAGCGGCACATTCTAGATGCCACAAGGTCTGGCCTCACTGTGTCCATTCCCAAACTCAAACTAACAAGACCTTTTGCAAATGTAGGTCAGGACACACCTTCTCCAAAGATCCGTTTGAGACCCCCTCAGAGGGACACTGAGGAGAGCGTGGTTGAGTATGATGCGGAACTTCTTGGAGGCACCAGGAGACGGAGCCCTAGGGGGCCCGGGCCGTGCCTCCCACACTCCGAAGACTCAGGAGAAGGCAAGAACTCTCTGGAATTGTGGTCAGGGAGTTCAGGTGAGGAGGTGGATCGCGGCCACAGCGACCTCACCCTTCTCATTAACTTCCGTAAACGTAAAGCGGATTCTTCTAGTTTGTCGGTGTGCAGTAGCGACAGCCTGGACGAGTCAAAGTCCTTCAGCTCGGACGGCACCTCACCAGAGCTGTGCGATCTGGCGCCTGGTGAAGACCTCTCTGTAACCTCATCTTCTGTACCTTCACGGGACGACTGCAAGACTGTGCCGCCTCTCACAGTGCGGCTTCACACCCGCAGCATGACAAAGTGTGTGACAGAAGAAGGTCACGCCATAGCGGTGGGTGACATCGTGTGGGGGAAAATCCACGGCTTCCCCTGGTGGCCCGCACGCGTCCTGAGCATCAGCGGCACTCGCAAGCAGGAGACAGCCAGTTGCGAGGCCCAGTGGCCCCAAGCCAAGGTGGCGTGGTTCGGTTCACCCACAACCTCCCAGCTTTCTGTTGCCAAACTGTCGCCCTTCAGAGAGCTCTTCAGGTCCCGCTTCAACCGGAAGAAGAAAGGGATGTACCGGAGAGCTATCCTGGAGGCAGCCAAGGCCGTGGGTCACATGAGCCCGGAGATTACGTCACTGCTTTCTCACTGCGACACGTAGGTGAGTTCATAGCACTTACATGTGCCTGTATCACTTCTATGACTATGTTGGGCAAAGGGGTATACTATAAACTAGAGCTGGGCGATATGAGATTTTTTCATATCACGATATGTTTTTTTCATTTCAGGCGATAACGATATCCATCACGATATAAGCCAAATAACTATATTTGTAAGATTTAAATGTGCCGTTGCTCACAAGTAAAATGTGAAATAATCAGCAGCTTGTTTTGATTTAAATATTTATTTCCCATAATAAGTTCAACAGGGTAGATGTACTTAAGGAACATGAGACTTTTTCAGATAAATAAAGGCAAATATTGCAAACTACACAAAAGGCAGCCGCTAAAGCGTTTAAGTTTCAAAATAGAACAAACAAAACAGACTAAATTGTCAATTCCACTTAGAAACAAAATATTAATTCTAAAAATAAATCTTAGTTTGTTTTACAGAAGAACAGACAAAACTGACTAACTTTTGTCAATATCAAATAAACTGAGAACTAAAAGGAAATTCTCAATCTCTCCTTGTTGTATAGCTTAGCTTTTCAAACAGTTTTAACAGTTACTTTAGTCTGACAAAAGCCGAATGACGAATTAGCGCTTCCAGTCAGAGACTGAGGCGACGTCCACACGTACACGGGTATTTTTGAAAACAGAGATTTTCCGTTTTCGTTTTAAAAAATAATCCCGTCCACACATAAAGGGAGAAATGAAGGAAAACGCTGCTATGAACATGCCAAAGCAGCAGGTGGCGCTAGATTCCTAACCGTGCAGAAATGTTGGCCAATCAGAAGTCTAGAAGCCTCGGTGGGAAAAAGTAAACAAAGCTGGGGCATAGAAGCAGAACCGAGTCGTATGTGTGGACGGACAGTAACTGTGTGTATATGTAAGCATTTAAACACTGCAGAGAGTAGAATTAACAGTAACAGTATTGTAGAAATTCATTTCACCGAAACAATAACGTGGCGCACAGTGTGACGCATGCACCAGTTTATTGTATTTCCAGACTTGCTTTCGGCACATTTACAGTACACGCTACTCTGTTTTTTGTCAGACTTGAAATAGCCGAAATACCTTCACACTACGGACCTCTATGGCTCTTCCGTTCGACAATCTCTCCGGCGTTGGAACCATCATCTGTTTTCTCTTCGGTCACGCTCGGTTGATTTTTCTAGTCGGCACACTCATTTCCTCCATTACGCGCTGGCTCCATTACCCGCTGGCTGCTTCCCAAACAAACACACGTGCGGCTTGGCACTTGTGCTGTACGTAACAAGTCACGCGACGTGACGCTGCGGGTGTGATTGGTTCGGCTCTGCGCTACTTAATTTGGATCGGCTGACCCTGGTTTTTTTTTTTTGTTTTGTTTTTTTCTTAAGAGGACAAGAGCGGCGAGGTCTATCGCGATAGCTTAATTTCTCTATCGAGTAAAAGTTATATCGCGATACATATCGTTATCGTTCTATCGCCCAGCTCTACTATAAACATAGAATATTACAGAAATCGTTACCGATCACCTGCATTTTTTTCAAACAATGTCTACATGGTAGATGAAGGAAATGCTTTAAGTGAACCTAAGAAGATAATACATGCAGCCAGTTGGTGTTGTCGTTGTGTGCTCCCCCACAAAAAAACAAGGCCCACACAAACACACGGACCAACACCAGCTGGCTGCTTGTATTTTAGATTGTATTTTATTTTTTTTAGATGACAAAAAAAAACTCGGTCTAGTCATCAGTGGCCCAACTGGTAGTTTTAATCACAATGATTGACTATGAGAAACAAGTCTGACTCAGCAAGAACAAATTACAGCACAGAGCTGGTGCAGATGAGCAAGAGCTGCCAGTGTAGAAATGTTGGCTGTGCAGACACAATACGGGCTGCATGCATGAGTCAGTTGATTGACAGTAAGTCGGCACGTTTCTCAGTTTTTGGCATTTTCTGTTTTTTGTTTTTTTTTAATATGAACCTTTTCTTTCTTAAACTATTAGAAATTGAGTAACTTTGATATTTGCATTGATTCTATGATTTGACCCCCCCCAAAAAAACGCAAACACCAGAAAGAATGTACAGCCAAGCTAAAAGTGTATGTTTTTAATTTATTTCAATTGTGTCCCTCTTGATTGTATATATTTCTCCTGTTTGCTATGTATTCCTTTATATTTTATGCTGGAGCAGTTTGTATAGAGCCCCACAATTTTGTAGTACACGTGCAATGACAATTGTTAAATATTCCCTGTGCCTCTCCGGCTGTATTCACCAGCTCTTCCCTCAAATATCTGTGAAACCTGTCATTTGATGAGCATGTTAAACTTTAGGGCAGAATGCTGAGCTAAAAGAAAAAGAGCTTGTGCTCCAACCCGCTCTAGTACCAAACACTTTGAGCTGTGTCGTGCCAGCCTCGCTGCATTCACGTCCTGAAACAGGTGCTGTGTTTGAGGCAGCAGAGCAAACATTAACACAAGCTCTAATGAAGGCACAGGCTGTGCGGCTGCCTGTCAACAGGGATGGTTTGTTTAAAAGGCTCATTTCAGAAAAGGACTCGCATCAGGCTGTACTGCTTCAATTCAAGCAATCGGAGTGCATGACCATAAGTTGTTTCTTTTTTTAAAGTCATCTCTTATTTGGTTGTCGTCCAAGTGTGGTGACCTAGCCTGGGTAGCCAAGCAGCAGGTTCCTCAACATACACTCAAATGTTAAATATTGTCTTTGAGTGATAGAAGGGGCAAACAGACCATTTCCAACCCCACTGTTTACTCTGTTACGAGCACAGCAGCCAAGAGGGAATTGGTTATAGCAGAGGATAAACAGTAAGGGGTTAAGGCAAGCCTATATTTGGTGCCTTTTCCAGACCTCATAAAGGAAGCGTTTTTCTTCCTCTGTCAGCTACACAGAGGTTTCACATGACTGATATAACATGTTGAGCACAACACCAAACGCACTGCTGATTCTTGCAGACTCAGTTACAAATGACCTGCACCGGATGCATGACCTGCCTTGTTTGCTCATTGTCTATCCCCCTTTTGCCTCTCTCTCTTTTTTTGCATAGAGCCTGAGGACTGAAGACAAGTCTCCGAGGTTTTTCTGAATTCTCAGACTATGTCATCAAGACCCAGGAGGGAGTACGTGTGGTTGCCACGGCTACTATTTATACGCCCTCTCATTTTTTTTTATTTTTTTTTTCTCACAAGGCTGGTGGAAAATGGCCGCCAAGGTGGAGTGTTCTTGAGACCGGATAAGGGAGCAAAAAATATAAAGGCCTGGCATCTCATGGTCTTCTATGAACTATAAACTATTCCTCCTTTTTTTTTTTTTTTCTTTCCTAGATTTAATCATATTTCAATAGAGCCGAATAACAACACTACAAGGACCTGAATGTATTTATTGTCTGTAATGTTTTATTATGATCCAGTAAGTTCACCCTTTCTACTACAGTCTCGCAAAAACCTCCCAATCTGCTGCTGTCATTATCGCGGGCCTTGCCGCCGTCGTCGTTTGGCTCCAAGGTTCCCCTCCTCCAGCCAAGAAGGCTCCCCCTCCTCTTCCTCCTTCATCCCTTGGACACAAGTTTAAAAAGGAAAAAAAAGTCTTACCCCAAAACCTCCTTTTCCTCTGAAAATGTGAACAGCTCCATCCAGAGACAGTAGTGACTGTTTCCAGCTAGCGATCACAGTGTTTCATCCTCGTAGCCTTCCGCGACATTAGTTGGATTTGTGGATGTATTTATACTGAACTCTGTTCCTCTCCTGATTCATGTCGTGTCTCTTTTCCATTTCATTTTCTAACGT